CAGCGTATCATTATTTTTTTATTTTGATATTGTGCTACGATAGACGAACTGAGTGTAGTCAACATTTCTGATCAGAAAGATTTGACTCCCGCAGAAATTTTGAGTGTTGGTGTTAGAGTACCCCAATTCCTGGCCGATGAGCCTGCCTTATGGTTCGCACAAATTGAAGGCCAGTTCCTATTGTCCAGGATCACGAATAAAGAGACAAAATTCTACTACGTAGCTGCGCAACTAGAACCTCCATACGCTAGGGAAGTTAAGAATATTATTACTAACCCACCTAGAACCGATAAGTACCTTACATTGAAAACGGAACTAATACGTCGTCTTTCAGTATCGCAGGAGAAGCGCCTCCAGCAATTGCTCAACCACGAAGAGCTTGGAGATCGGAAACCATCGCAGTTCCTACGCCACCTGCAGAATCTAGCCGGAGCATCTGCAGAATCAGACGTCATTAAAACATTATGGTCGAGTCGTTTACCCATTAATGTACAAACTGTGATTGCTTCTCAGATAACAGACTTATCGTTGGAGAAACTAGCCGAACTCGCAGACAGGGTGTACGAGATCGCGCCGGTGAACCCTCAAGTTGCCAGCACCTCTACTAGGACGCCGGAAAACCGTGATACTTTGGCCAGGCAGATAAATGACCTAACGAGGCAAGTAGCACTTCTTACTACTCAACTTAACAGGCAACAACGTTCCCGCTCATACTCAAGATCGTGATCCAACTCAAGGAAGCACATACAAGGCGGAAAACTTACAGGGGGGTCGCAAGTAACGGCCAGCGACTACCCCTCTTCAACAGGCCGTTTATTCATCTCTGATCGGATATCAAAATGCAGTTCCTCGTGGACACTGGTTCAGACCTGTGTGTTTTACCCCGGTCAGCAGTCAAGACGCCCTATTATAAATCCAGGTATGACCTCATAGCTGCTAACAACACATTCATACACACCTACGGACCGATAAAGCTACACCTCAATCTAGGATTGAGACGAAATTTCACATGGAATTTCACAATAGCCGAAGTGACACGACCGATCATCGGAGTTGACTTCCTCAGCCACTACAATTTACTCGTCAACTGCAGGAATCAACGATTAGTTGACAATGTCACTACTCTCTCGGTCAACGCCGTAGCCCGCACATCAACTGAGGACATCGGTTCGGTGAAATCAGTCACCGGAGAAACCGAATTTCACCAAATACTGCGTGAATTCCCCGAGATAACTCGCCTTACGGCTATGCACTTAGGTACCATGCGAACATAACCATCTGCACCACATCAGGACGTCTCCAGGACCTCCACTATCCAGTAAGAATCGACGCCTGGATCCACTACGCATGCAAGCTGCGAAGCAGGAGTTCTCAGACCTGCTCGCCAGCGGCATAGCCAGACCATCGGAAAGCGCTTGGTCTTCTCCTCTGCACATGGTAAGAAAGAAAGATGATAGTTGGAGACCATGTGGAGACTACAGAGCACTAAACTACAGAACTATACCTGATCAATATCCCATCCGTCATATCCACGACTTCTCACAGGCTGTTCTGTCTTTTCTACCATTGACTTAGTTGTACATCTTACAATCAGATTGCTGTCAATCCAGATGACATCATGAAAACGGCAATCACGACTCCATTTGGATTGTACGAATTCCCGTTCATGAACTATGGCTTAAGAAACGCAGCACAAACCTTCCAGAGGTTCATTGACGAGGTGTTGCAAGGACTCGATTTCTGCTACGGATACATAGATGACATCTTAGTATTTTCATCATCAATCCAAGAGCACAAGAACCATCTGCGGCAACTTTTCGAACGCCTAAAGCAGTATGGCGTCATGGTAAACACTGCCAAGTGTACACTTGGCCAACCAGAAGTCACGTTCCTGGGATACCACGTGTCAGCTGCAGGTACTAAACCAATTGAGTCCAAAGTCGAAACTATCAGGCAATACCCCGTTCCAAAAACCGTCAAAGAACTAAGACGTTTCTTAGGCATGCTAAACTTTTACCGTCGCTTTACTCCCAACGCAGCCCAACTTCAAGCACCGCTGAATGACGTTTTCAGTGGCTCAAAAATCAAAGGGTCTCATCCGATAGACATGACTCCGCAATTACTTCGAGCATTCGAGGACTGTAAGGAATCACTATCTCAAGCAACTCTTCTTGCTCATCGCGACCCAGCTGCAGAACTGGCAATAGTAACAGACGCATCTAAAACTGCCATAGGCGCCGTCCTTCAACAACGGAAAGGTAAGGATTGGCAACCACTTGCTTTCAACTCTCACAAGCTCAGCAACGCACAGAGGAAGTACAGTCCCTACGACAGAGAGCTATTGGCTGTTTACGAAGCCATCAAGTACTACCGTTACATGGTTGAGGCCAGAATATTCACAATATTCACCGACCATAAGTCTCTCACCTTCGCTTTCTCAAAAAGCAAAGACAAATGCACTCCTAGACAGTTCAGACACCTCAAATACATTGCTCAGTTTACAACAGACCCGAGATACCTACCTGGTAAGGAAAACTCAGTAGCTGACGCACTTTCTAGAGTCGAGGAGATCACTACAGCTGTGGACTACGATGATACTGCACGAGCTCAGGGCAAAGATCCGGAACTGCAAAATCTACTCCTTCATGGCTCTGCCCTGCAACTGAAAAGGATCAACACTTTAAACGGTAACTTACCTGTCTACTGCGACACTTCTGTACAACCGCCACGACCTTACATTACTCCTCAGTTCACAAAACAAGTCTTTGATACACTGCACAGCTTACACCATCCAGGAAGATCAGCTACTGTGCGATTGGTCTCACAAAGATACGTATGGCCAGGGATACGTAAAGATTGTAGAGAGTGGTCAAGACAATGCTTGTCATGCCAAAAGAGCAAAATAACCCGTCATACCATATCCCCACCTTCATCTTTCCTCACTCCTTCGTCGAGATTTTCCCATATCCACCTCGACATCGTAGGGCCCCTAACTCTGTCTTCTGGTTACAGATATTGCCTTACCGTCATCGACCGATTCCCGCGATGGCCTTAGGCATAACCCATGGTGGACATCACGGCGGAGACCTGCGCAGCTGCTCTAGTGTCCGACTAGATCGTCTTGCACGGGTGACTACAGACCGCGGACGCTAGTTCGAGATTCATCTCTTCAAGGCTCTCACCAAGTTGGTTGGTGTGCGTCACCTGCGCACAACCGCCTATCACCCAGCTGCAAACGGCATAATCGAGCGACTTCATCGCAACTCAAGGCGGCAATCATGTGCCACACATCATCACATTGGACGGAAGCTTTCCACTGGTTCTCTTGGGCATACGCAACTCGTGGAAAGAGGATCTACAAGCTACGCCTGCTGAATTGGTATATGGTCAATAAAAAAAGCTTACTAGGCCAATACCTATCTCCAATAGACGACTACACTACGGCAGACGTCACAGAGTACGTAACACGTCTACGATCCTGCATGGGTAAACTCACTCCCAAGAAAACATCATGGCACACCAGCACTACAACGCCATTCTATATACCACGTGACCTCCACACATCCTCTCATGTATTTCTACGCCGACATCACGTATGAAGCCCACTCGAACCACCCTACGATGGACCCTTCAAAGTACTAGACAGACAAGCCAAGTACTTCCTACCATAGAAATAAGGGGAAAGAAAAACAACATCTCTGTGGATAGACCTAAACCAGCTTATATGGCCAAAGAAACAAAAAAACTGGAACCCAAAGTCGACCCAAAGACGACTACACCACGGCAGACGTCACAGAGTACGTAACACGTCTACGATCCTGCATGGCGAAACTCACTCCCAAGCAAACATCATGGCACATCAGCACTACAACGCCATTCTATATACCACGTAACCTCCACACATCCTCTCATGTCTTTCTACGCCGAGATCACGTATGAAGCCCACTCGAACCACCCTACGATGGACCCTTCAAAGTACTAGACAGGCAAACCAAGTACTTCACCATAGAAATAAGGGGTAAGAAAAACACAGTCTCTGTGGACAGAATTAAACCAGCTTACGTGGCCAAAGAAACAAAAGAACCGGAACCCAAGGTCCCTACGGAACCTGCCATCAACAAGGAGAAAATCACGCGGAGTGGCCGAAGAGTAAGATTTACGGATTACTATCGACCGTAGTTACGGTCTGGCCAGGGGGAATATGTGCCGTAACTCGCTTCACTTAGACCTACGTAAATTCGCTACGCGCATGAAGATTAAGCCACACGCTTATATCATGCCACTACCAGGGAACAATACGAGTCATCTATAAGATAAGGCCCCGCGCCTTCATCGGAGCGCGAGAACACAGTATAATAAAACATCTTGGATTTAAAAATAAATTCCATTCTCGATATCAGCACCCAAAGAAACCTCGAAATTGATACCCATATCATATTATTAAAAAAATGTCAGCCACCTTGGATATGAAAATGGATGCCAGTTTCATAATAAGCACCCCAAGAAACCCCGAAATTGATACCCATATCATATTATTAAAAAAATGTCCGCCATCTTGGATATAAAAATGGATGGCGTTTTCGTAATCATCACCCCAATAAACCTTGAAATTGACATCCATATCCTACATATCTAAAAAATGACCGCCATCTTGGATTTAAAAATAAATGCTATTTTCGTAATTAGCACACCAACAAACTTAAAAATTTACCCCTAAATCTTATTATACGGAGTACATATATCGACCACACCCACAATTGTTTCTGGACTGGATATTCGTCTATGTCCAATTTATATATTATTTCAAGTGTATAACCCCTTCAGACCCAATTTCAATGGACACGTTTTATTATTGCATGAAATATGAGGTAGATTAATAAAAACGCTAGTGTAAGCGTTTGATTGTACCGACCACTTACCTAGAAACGTTACGATAAACAAAACACCAAAGGATTTATTGTAGGTAGGATGAAATAATTAGTCAAGTGTTGACGTTCGCCATGGATACGCGCAATGCGAGTAAGTCTTTAGTGTTATTTTATTTACTCCAAAACGATTTGATCGATTGTTTAGATATTTTTTATTCTGCATAGTGATCATAAAAGCTAAGATATACATTTTTAAAAAATACTAAATATGCGGTTGTTTTCATAATTTTGAAGATAAAGTCGATGTCCATTTCAGTGGACAATCGTTGTAAACCAAACGTATTTATAATAAAACTTTGTATTGAATTTTACATGTTGTTTTTATTCCTTTTTAGGTTTTGATCTATCTAAAAGTCAAGATGTGGATAATTTACTCAATTTATTAGAAAACGGAACAATATCGGATCTCGAAGAAGAGAGTGACGATGAAATTGTACAGGCAATACCACAAAAAAATAATCGTGTAGGTAGTAACATAACGCTACCAACCGAAAGAGAGATAGGTAATCACTCTGAAGAGGAGGACGATATAGTAGAGGAAGAAGACTTTGAGGAGGTAGAATCTAGACCCGGATCAAGTAGTAAGCCTACAAATGAAATAATTTGGAGAAAACATTTACAGCTTGAAACACCACAATTCATTTGGTCAGCGCCACCACCAGCTGAAATTGATTCACCTTACGTTCCCATTGATTATTTTTCTAAATATATATCAGAGTCTCTAATTGAAGATTTTACATTCAATACAAATTTGTATGTGGTGAGAAATGAAGTCCGTAATTTCAAACCATGTACTTCAACAGAAATGAAAATATTTTTCGGCTTTCATATCATATTGGGTAACCTAAAGTTTCCTCGTATTCGTTTGTATTGGGATTCCAGTTTAGATATGAAAATATTTTTAGAGAACATGGCCAGAGATAGATTTCTTCAGATGAGAAACAATGTCCATGTAATTGATAACAATTCTATTCCACAAAATAACACCGATCGTTTTATCAAAGTTCGACCTTTATATGATTCAGTTAGAAAACGATGTCTAGAACTAAAATTAGAGCAAATATTGAGCGTTGATGAACAGATTGTACCTTTTCGAGGAGAACTTGAAGTCAAACAATATGTCAAAGGAAAACCACAGCCATGGGGTGTAAAGATATTTATGATTTGCGGTAAGAGTGGATTAGTTTATGATTTTATTATTTATCAAGGCGCAACTACAAATCTAGAGAAAATTGACGTTTTGAAATATGGCACATCTGCTGTTTATGTAAATGCCTTGTCAAAGAGAATAAATAGGTCTGGTCATTACCTCTTCTAAGATAATTATTTCTCCAATTACGTTTTGCTGAAGGATCTTCGCGAGAGGGAAATTTATGCAGGAGGAACGATCAGAATAAATCGTTTTGGAAAACCGCCACTCATAACTGACAAGGAAGGATCAAAAAAAGATAGGGGATATACTGATCAAGTTACGAATAATACTAAAGATGTGGTTGTTATCAAGTGGATTGACAACAAAGGTGTAGTACTTGCTTCAAATTTTGTTGGAATAGGAAATCAAGATGAAGTTCGACGACGGAATAAAATATCTAAAAATTACGTAACTATACCGCGTTCTGAACTTGTGCAATTATATAACAATGGTATGGGCGGTGTAGATAAAACTGATCATCTGATTAGTTTGTATCGAATCTTCATTAGATCCAAAAAATGGACATTGCGTATGATATTTCACGCCATTGACCTAGCACTAACCAATAGCTGGCTGGAATACCAAGAAGATTGTAAAATCTGTAATATACTAAGGCAGCGCGTTGCAGAAGCTCTAATAAAAATGGGGCATCCAATTCCTAGCAGAAAAAGAGGACGGCCCGCATCTGGTGGTAGCAGTCCAGTAAATTCACCAGTTACACCAAAACAACATCTTTTCAGGACTGAAATAAGACCAGCGAGCGAAATCCAGTATGATACTGTCGACCATTTGCCAGAATATGATCAAAAGAAAGAAGCTACAAGATCTAAAAATCCAGGATGTAAAGGAAAGACGCATGTTTACTGTCTGAAATGTGAAATACATCTGTGTTTTACTGGTGAGTGAAATTGCTTTCGAAAATTTCATCAAAAATAAAAATAATTCTAACAGTGTAGAATGTTAAATAAAAAATAAACTATTAAAATAATATTACATAGTTTTACGGACTTACTTCAAAATATTACTACAAAACATTTATTCATTAAATATGTATTAATACAACATTCTAAACCTGATGTCCACTTGAGTGGACATCAAAATTTCCAAAAATCTGAAAACGAAAAAATCCCATATTTTTACAAAAATCCCTTAATTACACTTCTAACTCACAGAAAAACCTAAACAATATTTTTATTGATGCTTTATATAAATTCAGGTCCGAAGGGGTTAATGGCCCTAAACAAAAAAACGGGTTGAATTATTTATAAAATAAATTAAATTAAAATAAAATTATATTTTTATACAATAATGTTAAAGTGTTGTCCTGCAAGACGGATAAAACAAAATACCTCAATAGGCTGACGTCTTCGCTCACGGGTGTTGGGGGAACTAATACCATAGCAGATCAATCGCTCCTAGAAGAACAGGTAGCAGGTATCACTAAAGCCGTGACCTACCATGAATCATGTCCAGTAATCACTCCACCAAAACATGCTGAGCAAAAGCAACAGTGGTGGGGTAAAGAACTAGACAGGAAACGTAAGAAGGTAAGAAAAGCCCTAAATAGGGCAAGGGAATACCTGTATAATAATACCAATGAAACCTCAAAGGATGAAGACTGGCTTCTGTATAAGAAAGCTAAGTCTGAATACAAAAAAATGTATCAGGTATCGACGCTCAAGAGAGTGGCGCAAATTCTGTGGTAGCATAGAAACTTGTGAACAAGCAAATCGGATAAGGAAAATCCTAGCTAAACAGAACACGCCGGGATCTATCTCTTTAAAGAAACTCGACGGAAGCTACTTAACATCGCCGGATGAAACCCAACACATCCTAATTGATTCCCAGGTTGCTGTGTAGTTGAAAGGGTGAATCGGCATGAAGATACACTGACACCAACAAAAGAAGACTGGGAATTAGCACAAAGAGTGGTGACGATGGACAAAATCCATTGGGCCATTCATAGTTTCCAACCCTATAAGGCAGCAGAACGTGGCGGCTTATTCCCGGCACTTCTACAGTAGGGGGTAAAGTCCTAATAGTCAGACTTTTGCCATAATGAGAGCATGTCTGGCTCTTATAATTAAATATGTTCCTAGGGGATGGAGGGAAGTGAAAGTCACGTTCATACCCAAACCAGGTATCAACGAATATACAGACCCTAAATCCTAAAGACCTATTAGCCTCACATCCTTTCTCCTAAAGACGATGGAGAGGATGTGTGAACGGGAGTTGAGAGGTTCGGCGCTAATTAACTTACCGCTACATGAAAAACAACACGCCTATAGCTTAGATAAATCAACAGAATCGTCACTTCACCAGGTAATAACAAAGATTGAAGAGGACATCCAAAACAAAGCAATATGTCTAGGCTCCTTCATAGACATAGAAGGTGCCTTTGACAGAACAAATTTCTCCAGCATAAAAGGTGCCCTAAGTAGACATAATGTTGAACCGGCACTGATTGACTGGATAGTAAACATGCTCAGTACACGAACAATAAAGATTGCTGGTGAATCTCAGACAATTCAGATCATGAAGGATGCCCGCAGGGTGAGGTTCTTTCACCTCTCCTGTGGAATATGGTCATTAATGAACTCATCAGCAAATTAAACGCTAAACATTTCTACACAGTCGGTTATGCAGATGATCTAACAATACCGGTCTCTGGTAAGACAGCAAGCATTGTGTGCGACCTGACCCAAGCGGCTCTCCGTATTGTGGAGAGATGGTGCAGGGAATATGACCTAACCGTTAATCCAAATAAACAGGTTAATGTTCACACAAAAATGAATGCTGAATAACTATCATCTTCCAAGTCTTTTCGGCACAAAACTCCAACTTTCTTCCGAGGTAAAATACCTAGGTCTTACCTTGGACAGTAAACTTAACTGAAACAAACACATAGAAAACAAAATCAGCAGAGCTAGTTTAACTTTCTGGCAATGCAGAAACATGAAATGAAACATGGCAAATGATGGGGTTTAACGCCAAAAATTATACTGTGGCTGTACAAAACTGTAATTCGGCCCATGATCACATACGCCTCTCTGGTATGGTGGACCAAAACCAATGAAGCCACCACTATAAAAAAGCTTCAGCGTTACCAGAGATTAGCTTGTATGGCTGCCACGGACTGCATAAGGACTACACCAACAGCAGCTTTGGAGGCTATGCTGGAGCTAACACCGCTTCATCTACATATACAACAAGAAGCAACTTTAGCTGCCATTAGACTCAAGACCCTAAATCTTTTAAGTAAGAGTAGAGTCCCCCATACAGATATAATCGATAGAATTTACTCAAAAATTCCTATCTTACAAGCCAAGCATGATAGGATCCCAAAACAATTCGTATTCTATAAGAAGTACAGGATACAATTGAAGGAAACTGACCATCTGGAAGGATTGGATCCAAGAGAGCTCAAAGTTTTTACGGATGGCTCTAAGACAAATGAAGGTGTGGGGTCTGGGGCTTTCTCTGAAGACCTTAATATCCACATATGCACACCGCTGGGTACCCACATTACAGTCTTCCAGGCTGAATGCATGGGTATCATTCAAGCGGCCATAGCAATAGATGCTAGGAAGGCGAAAGACTTCTCCATCAGAATACTGACCGACAGTATGGCGGTACTACAAGCTCTGAGTTGCAATGTGACGAACTCGGGACTGATATACGAGTGCCATCAACGATTGAATGAGGTATGTAAGCACAACAATGGATCAAGGGACACAGTGGATCTAGAGGCAACGATGCAGCAAATGAACTTGCCAGAAGGGGATCGGCCCTAGCAACTATAGGGCCGGAACCAATAATACCAATCGCCTTTGGCTACGTTCGTTCACTGGTACGTAGATACTTCAATAATTTACATGGTCAGGTTTGGAAAAATTTAGTAGACTGTAGACAAGCTAGGGAGGCCCTACCTGAAATAAACAGTCGTCTAACGAAGGTTCTAATGAGACTGAACGAGCCACAGATTAGGAAGATTCAAACATTTGTTCACCATAGGTGTTACTGACAGCCCCGTGCAGGGCATGCATGGGAGAGGAAGAAACGGCGGCTCACGTGTTGCTGACATGTTCAGAAGTCGCTTCATACAGGGCTAAACATCTCGGCACGCCGGGATCGCTCCCCCGAAGTTGTTTGCAACATCAAGGGACTGCTGAGCATCTTCGGGGAGATATCATGGCTCGAATAAGCTTATTATTCCTGCCCACACGCAAAATACGCGCTTAGACGTGGAGTAGCGGAAAACAGCCCGTCGTAAACTAAACTACAATAATGTTAACTTTATCAAAATACTATCAAGGACGTAGATTAAGGTGCGGGCGTGGCCATTTAACTAATAGATTAATATATACACCATATTTTTACATGATAATTGCATTAGTAAATTTTGATAATGGTAACATTATAATTGATAAAGGTGTCAGCAATACAGATAACAGTGTCCAATGCAAATTGCAGACATCATATCCTTTTTAGGTACAAAAGGTGAGATAATGGTTTGACAAAACATCACAATTCAAAAATTATACATTTTAGCAGGAGTAAGCGTGAGGGTAAAGGATTAAGAGAGTGATTTACAGCCTTACTGTCCCCCCTCCTCCCTCCTCAACTCTTTACGTAGGTGTCCGACACTAACATTTTCATTGGAAACTCGGATACGTTACGTATAAAAACTAAAGAAAGACCTGACCTCTAATAGAAATATATACATTATCATCATCATCATCATCATTACAGGCCTTCACAGGTTCACTGCTCAACATAGGCCTCCCCCAAGGAATGCCACAAAGCACGGTCCCGAGCCACCTGCATCCATCGATTTCCTGCATGTCTTACCAGGTTGTCACTCCACCAAGTGGGGAGTTGCCCTACACTACGCCCTCCGCTATGAGGCTGCCACTCGAGACCCTTTTTTCCCCATCGGTAGTCGGTTTTTCGAGCTGCAGTAAGCTGCAGTGGCAATGGGCCGGCCATATGCCGGCCCATTGCCACTGCAGCTTACTAATCCGTTGGGCTATGTCGGTCACTCTGGTTCTACTGCGGATTCCTCATTTCTAAGTTTATCACGCAGAGAAACCCCGAGTGTAGCCCTCTCCATAGCTTGCTGAGCGACTTGAGCGTCCCATACGACCAGCAGTGAAGGACCACGTCTCTGTACCATAAGAAATCACTGGCAACACGCACTGGTAGTACAATCTAGTTTTCAGTTTCTGAGATATAGCTGACGAGAAGATGTGTCGTAATTTTCCGAAGGCTGCCCAGCAGAGTTGTATCTGTGGATTGACCTCTCGGTCGAAGTTGGATTTACCTAGTCGGACTATTTGTCCCAGGTAAGCATATAATAGAAATATATAAATATAATAATATTTTTTTTTATATATATATAATTATTTCCATGCTACTATTACTAGGGATGCAAGTTGTATAATATATATATATATATATATATATATATATATATATATATATATATATATATATATATTTTTAAATATATAAAGGTTAGTTGATATCGAGATATCTAAATATCGGTCTGGAACGCCAATATTATGTCATTTCTTATTTGTACAAAAATCAATAAATAAAATTATAAAATAAAAAAATACGTTTTATTATTGTTTTAATAAAAAATCTTTACGAATCGTATTTTGTACCCGCCATAGAGCTTAAAAACAATATTTTTGGTAGTCTACTTACATGTAGCCGGTGTCGGCTTTGAGCATTATGGCTCCTGCCTTTGTAAAAAGGCGTTTAGAAGACAGCCCCGTGGCCACAATTGGTAAGTACCATTTTAAACAAATTGGGATATACACCTTGCATCTCCAAAAGAGAATGTTCACTTTTAGGGTGCTTATAGGAGCAGCAAGGTATAACGGAAGGTCGTCGTTGCCATCGGTTGTTTTTCTTTTTACTTGACAGAGATTTATAGTGCTTCCTAAAGTCAAATTCACCTTTATCTTCATCCTCCGAAGATGTTAAAACTGATGCAGCTGCAGATTTATATTCTGAAATAAATTTTCTAATTCTCGACATTGGCAATGTGGAAACTGCTACCAACATATTATAACTGGCTGAAACGTTTTCCTATTACGAGAGTTATATTTTCTTCTAATCGCCGGTAATGCTAGGAGTGATCCTTAATTCGTTGTATTCATTAATGAGATATCTCACTATAGGCACAACTTTTGAAATAGTGACATAGTGTTCGGCAGAAGTCTCTCCCATACCCACGAAATCGAGTAACAGCATTTCATTCAATTTCTTGGGTATTCGATTTCGGGTGGATTCCTTCGATATTTTGTTTTGATACATTGAGTTTTTTTCAATATCGATATACCAATATTGCGAATCTTCGATATCTATAAATATTTATATTTTTTGCGTCGATATATCGATATACATATATAGGTATTCCGATATATCGTTGCATTCCTAACTAACGGTACGTGTACACCAAAACCGATTTTGTGCCGAACCGATGTCCACCGAAAATTTTTTTAAAAATTTTTTATTTTATAATTTTATTTATTAATTTTAAAGAAATAATATAATTTAATTACAACTTTCAGCACCGGTATAAACCGATTAGTAATTAAAAAAACCGGTTTTCTTAGGTTTTTTTAGGTTTTCAGGATCCATATGACATGAAAAAAATTAGTTTTTTTAATACTTATTAAACTTTATTCAATAAAAAACTTATTTTTATTTTTAGTAAAATAATTAAATCATAATTTTGGTGGATTGGGACCTGTTCCTTCGCGATGATAAGAAATAGCCAGAAGTTGAAAACATTCGTTCCGAAGGTACATAAGTCGCTGGCACTGACAGATATTTTAAAGCCATGTTATTAAGCGGCGCCAAATGTTTATTTGTTTTCCAGTAAGTGCCAGCGCAGTGCAGTACTTCTGTAGGTTTGTTTTCTCGCCCAGGGTCAATCTCGGTTTCCATATACATGCGCAGCATGTTCACTGCAGAAGCAGTCGTATTTGGAACACCAGTCTCAGCCCTTCTTTTTTTAAGAAGTCCAAAATTCCCGGCTTTTTTGTTGCCACCTGCTCAGTCGTAGGCATTGAATCAGACTCATCATCATGGGGCATCAGTTTTATTATTGGAGTCCAGTAACAGACTCCCCAACTCTCGCCTCATCCGGTCTTTAGCAGATAACATATTTTCAGGTTGACGAAAGCCGGTCCTTACTGCTGTTCATGTTACGCCGTACTGCTGAGCAGAACATCTTCCCTACATCTGTTTCCAGTGATATTTCGATGGTGTTGAGGTTTTCAAATAACCCGCAAATCACGAGAATCACTAAATAACTCGTTGGATATTGGTCACCACTTACTAATTTAGTTGCGTCCTCGAATATGCCTAAAACATTTACCACGTCTTTGACTATTTTTTCCTCAGAAGAATTGAAGAATTCTGGCGAATGATTTACTTTTCGGCATACTAGTGCCAGTTCATCGGACAATTTTAGTATTCTGGTCATCATATGAAATTTACTGTTCCAACATGTCGTAATATCTTGGATTAGTTTTAATGGCTGAGTATTAGGATTTCTTTCTATCTGTTCTGATTTCAGAGCGCGCCATCCATCAGACGACTTCCTAAAAACAATTACAATTGCTTTGCATTTCTTGATAACTTCTTCCAACGGGATTCTTCGACGGTTAAATTAAGAGTATGGGCAAAGCACGACATGTTTTTCATATTGTAAGCATTAGCCACACTACTGTCACAATAGCAGCAACTTTATTATGAAGTTTCCATTCCATTATGATGTTCTTCATGATTTCTGCCAAATTTTCAGAAGTATGCGAATTAGGAACTTTCGATGTTGTCAAAACGCACATTTTTAGATTATATTCATGAAAAAAAATGTACCGTCACTGTTATAAGTGACTCCATGTTCTGATTTGACCGTAGATCTATGGTTAGTGCGACGTATTCTGCATTTTTTAAGATACTCTCAAGCTGCCCATACCTTTGCGTATAAAGCGGGCATCATTCTCTTGAAGGCTACTGCCTTCAAGATAATGATGCCCGCTTTTAGGATTAAAAGGATTTTAGAAGCCTTAAATCCTAACTATGTACTATAGTTAGGATTTAAGGCTTCTAAAATCCTTTTGAAGCCTTTGTCTTCTACTACGGAGAATGGCTGGAAATCGGTGGCGATGATCAATGTAAGATATTCATCTATTTTTTTTTGTTACTCCCCTTCGTCATTTTCAACTTACTTTGAATAAAGGTTTTCCGTGGATGCTCTCTTGGTCAGTATTATTTGATGGGAGCGGGATAGATTGCTAATTGTCATTGATGGCGTGCTTTTCAGGATTGACTGGCACTGTTGCCTGTGGATGACTTCTCTTGAGATGAGCCAACGTATTAGATGTCCCTTCGCCAACCTTAATAATTTTTCCACATAACTGACATTTAGCCGAATCATTATTCAATTTTTCAAAATGATTTCTTGTAAGAGATTTTCCTTTTACTTTTGGTATCTATAAACAAAAAATAAATCGATCAAATTAATAGGTCACTTTTTAAACCACAGGTAAAATTGACATGAAAATGCTTTTTTATTTAAACAAAATATAATAATACCATAAAAATACATAAAAATTACCTTTTGTAGTTCTTTCTCTTGTTGTAAACAAGGCACAAACAATTATTTTAGGAAATTAAATACGGCTCAAACTTTAATTCACTCGGACTTCGCTATGCTTTGCAAAGAAAATTGCAGAATTGTACAATTGTCTCTGATCGGTAAATCCTCCATTGCTATTGGGCGACATTTTCGGGATTCTCCAACCACTGCTATTCATAAGGATTCAGATACACGTTGTAAAGTTATAGGGCTGCCAACATGCACAATGAATCGGTTATTTAACTAGAACCGGTACATACCGGTTTTATCAAAATCCGGTTTTTATTAGGTTTTCTTAAAACAGGTTGACATCACTATTGCCGGTATTCTGTAGTTGACTCTGTTGCTTAACAGACGCGTTTTTAAAATGGAGGAATTTGAAGAAATGTATCTTTTTGAAAATTCATACCGCAATTTAATTCGTCGGCGACCTCGGCGTGTGTGGATTATAGAAAATAGTAATATTTATGTACAGAAAACAGGGTTCAATAAATTATAATTTTTCCATTAATTTTATTTAAAACCCTACTGTTATAAAAAAACGTGTTAAATAGAAATAAAAATCCGTAGTTTAGTGACCTATTGGTTTTATTTTAATTAATAAGTATTATTTAGACGTAATAAATAGAAAAAATTTGTAAATTCGAGTCCAAATCTGCATAAGTGATCGTGTACAGATGTTGCACGCATGAACTATATACATAGGTCGTCCGACAATTATTCATTTATCTATTTTGAAACAACACTTTTTTCCTTTGAATATTCCTATGTACATAAATATTTTTGTTTTCTTGGTCCATTCTTGAACAATAAAATAAATAAGCAACTAAACTTATACATTTTAAATAAGAATCAATGTAAAAAAAGATCCTATTGAAATGGCTTCAAAAACTAGATCTTTTTATAGGATAGGGTGACAAACGAGCACACAGTCCACTTCTCTACACTCAACATACGACACACAGCAGCATTAAGCTACTATTTTACGCAGTTATTCTGTGAGAGTGTGGTCCTTCCCCGGTCGAGCCGACCCATTCATGCTACAACCATAATAGCCGCAGCGTGGATTTACCACGTAAATGATGAAACAGAAGAATTATTGAAATCCCTAAATAACTGAATTACTTTTATAATGTATAATTAATATACTATTAAATTATATCTTCTTATTATAATAAATAATAATTACTTTAATTAATAGGAAAAACCGTCGCAAACACACTAAACACATACACACATACGAAAGGAACAATTTACACTCAATACTTAAAAACTAACTTATATATTTAGGTCTAGGTAATTTTAATATTTTAAAATAATACTGTTTGATATATTATGTTTACGTAAGTTTCTTAATCATTAGGACTTCTGTTAAAATGTCCCATAAGAAAGAGCACTATTGCGGGAAATAGAAGCTAGATAAATTTGTTTCCTGAATAAAGAAATTATTATTATTATAATGTTGATGATTGTGAAGGAGTCGTTTGATTCATGGTCAGTGGCAAATGATCCTTCGGGGATGCGGATGTTTGTGAAGGCGTCATTTGAATAATGATCAGTGGAAAAGGCTCTTCAATATTGACAACGCATGGAGTAAATGACATATTTTATGATAAGTCTTCAGAATCGGGGCGACTTAATTCTTCGGAGTAACGGCTTACAGTAGAATACTGAACAAAGATTTTTCTATTTCGTGGCACTTCTTTTAAGTATGGAAGCAAACTCAACAAAAAGTTACGATCAGGATCATCTGCAGATTTATCTGCTGAACTGGACTCATATAATTGAAGTTTTCTTTTTTCGATCTCTAAATACTCTTGTGCCACATCAATATTTCTCTATTTCATAAGTCTTCCAGGTTGATTGACGATGATTGCGTTATAGGTAGTCACGAATAGGTTTGGTATGTGGTCTAGTATGTTGTTGTGACGTGGAGAATACTGCTTGGCTCGAATTCGAAGCTCCTAGCTGCGACAAACATGAAGGTCCAGGCTGCAAAGGCGCGGGTGTGGGCTGCGACAAAGGTGAGAGTCCAGGCTGCGGTACTGTTTGTGGCTGTCGTTCAGGTGAATACTTAGAAAAATAGGAGGGCTCCGCATTATCTTCAGTTTCTTGGCTGGGAGGTTCAGGCACATTAATGTTTTCGGTGTGATTTGTTTCGCCAAGAATAATAACGATTCGTAATATATCCATGAAGTTAATTTGTGATCCGTCGCAGCACCGGATCTACTTGGTTCATTGCATTTTTTACATTCTTTACGGAAGTGTCCCTTAAGTTGGTCCATTTTTTTAATGTCTGGAATCGCTATATCCATTTCCGATGCAACTTCAGCCCATAACCGTTTCGAAACGTCTCGATTATTCTAATTTTTTGAAAGTTTATCCCAGGGTTGGTCTATTAAAAACACAACTAATTAATTTTTCAATATCCATAGTGGTTTAGGTGTATAAGAACGTTGACAGAAACAACAGAATAAATACAGAATTATTAAATTAAACTATAAATACACTTAATTTTCTCTGTAGACGCCGGCAGTCTGGTAGGCATGTCGATCTAAAATCGATTAATCGGAAAATCGATTTTTTTGGAGTAAAAGAATCGATTATTTAGATCGATTCGAAGCACCGCATCGATTCACTGAATCGATCCAAAAACCTCTTGAATCGGACTGATTCATTTGATTCAAGAACTAGCTAAAATTCCCAACTGGCTGGGGTAAGATACCACAGTTTTTTAATTTTTTGCTGTTGGGGGACGCAAAATCAACCGGTCGTACTTGGTTGATAATTTGAACGCAATATATACAATATGTAACGTAATTAACGCACACCCTCAGACACCCCAATTAGTATATTATGTTATAATCATAATACATACACAGAATTTTTAGTTAAACATTTTTATGCACTGATTATTTATCAAATTAGTTATACTAATTCCGCAAGAATGTTGTGGTCACAGTACAAATCCACGAACGCAAAGACTTTAACTTGCTTGAAATAAAGTTCATTTTTTCTTTATTTTTATTGAATGACGGAATTAGTAATAATACAAATAAAACTGCACTCTTAAAAGTCTTATTACTTTAAGTTACGGTCCATCTCAGCTTGTTTTGACTGTACAGATTTAGTGTGTGTAGTGACTGTGATTTACATAGTTTTAATTATTTTTGGGATAAAAAATTACCTATATTAAAAATGATAGGAATCGATTCAGTAAACGATTCTGAACAAACTACTTTCTCAAAGTGTGTTAATTATGTTACATGTTGTATTTAAATAAAATAAATGTTTATGAACGCATCCAACAATATCGAAAAGTTGTCATTTCATTTTCATTTCTAAAATTCTTAAGCCTACTTTCCACTAAGGGATATAATGTAATTTATATTACATCTCGAGATATAAATTAATATCGCTCACCGTACTTTTAAATGGAACCGTTTCCACTGAGATGTAATATATATTACATCCTAAACTATAAATATTTTTTCGATCGACCGAGCGATATTTTCATATTATATTTCACCTCCTGTACTATAATATTATAGCTGTGAACCTGTTTGAACCGTGAACTTGTGAATTTACATTATTTATTATCAAAAATATACATACTGTGAGCTGTAAGTACAAACAGAGTACTTTTTAAATACCTAGATACTGTAAATAAATTCGTACGTTGAAGTTTATAGAGGTTTATAGTAAGGAAATAACCAGTATTGTGTTCGTGTAGCATTCATTTCAATATGATAAATAGTGAATTATTAGATTGAAACAGATTTATCGAGAAATCTTGCAGTTTGCACTTTTGTTAAAGTATTGTTGTTGTTTTTAGCCTAAAATGTCAAATAAAAGTGTTACGTGGAATCACTTTTTAAAAAAAAGGGATCGAGTGGAGTATGTACTAACCTCTCCTAACACAAGCGTTTCAAGCTTACCAGGAGTGGTTAAAAGGATTATTAGTAATATTAATAAATAAGATTACTAATATTTTATTTAAAAAAAATATTACAGTTTAGAAGTTAAAGAAAAAAAAAGGAAAATTCTTGAAATTTCGTTTGAAAATGTCGCGATTAATCGAAAATCGATCTTTTAATCCTCGATTTAATCGATAATCGATTCAAGTACCTTCGATTCAAATCGATTCGGAGATCGATTTTTTTAAGAGCGAATCGACATGCCTACAGTCTGGCTCTGGCGAGAAATCTCAACAAGTTCGGATCGGAAGTTGATCGGCCGTTTTCGTGCGTCATCGGACGATGGCGTCGTGTACACCAGTACGCGCTCTTTTTGTTTTACAAGTGTTTGATTCGATCGTCCGAGTTCGGCCATCGTCGCCCGAGCAAACTTCGGCCGATGACGGATTAGGTGTAAGCGAGCCGTTGATCGGATTTTTTCGTGCGTCATCGGACGATGGCGTCGTGTTGGTATACGCGCTCTCTTTGTTAAGGCATGAATATTTTAAAAATATTTGACTATCTGTCTGTCGTCTGTCTGGGCTAATCTTCGAAATGGCTGAATCGATTGTAATGAAACTTGCTGAACATATTATATAGAGCACTGCCAGGGGTGATATAGGGTATATTTTATCCGATAAACTAAGATATATGTTTTTTTTTCTTAGAAATCGAAAAATAGATAAAATTAATGGTCCCTGATAATCATATTAAATCGAAATAACATCACATTATTATTAATTTAAACTAATCGTACTCATGCGAAGCCGAGGCAGGTCACTAGCTTATAATATTTTAATGCTATTTGACACCTCACCCTGATAACAATTTGTTCTTATCAGTTAAGATCTTATCTATTACCTGAAAATGCTCTTTTGTTTTTGCTTTGACTTGTGAGATACCCGCAAATGAAAAAAATACCAACGAAATTGTTCGACCGGGTATAGGTACAAGCACTAACTGAGAAAGCTAAATCCGTCCTTCCTAATCTATTAACTAACATTGAACAGATACTCTTATTTGCCTTTAGCCTTTAGTAAACCGCAATGTAATCAGATCTAAACTTGACATTGCGATTTATTTTACAAAAACAAACATTTAAAATGATTTCTTTTAAAAATATTGTCAAGTCAAATCCGGGATCCACTACAGTAACCACGTGGTTATGGTGATAGGCTCAGAGAGTAACTATCCATAATTGTAATTTTTTTCAGTACAAATCTCAGATGGGCCGTGGTAGCTCAAATGGTTAGCGCTCGCTGTAAATTTCACAGTACGCGAACAAACCGGGTTCAATCCCCGCCGCCACCAATGAAATTGTTAATTGCAATTTTAAGTGCTGATTTACCACGTGCTCGGCGGTGAAGGAAAACATCGTGAGTAAACCTGCATGTCAAAGAATAAGAAAAAAATATTTCGATGACATGTGAAGTTCACCAACACGCATTGGGGCAGCGCGGCGGACACGTCCTTGCCCTAATACCCTCTCAGAAATGAGAGGAGGCCTGTGCCCAGCAGTGGGACGTATATAGGCTGTAACTTTACTTTTTACTTTACTTTTACAAATCCCGGCTCAAATTATTATTTGGACAACGATTGATATCGTATAAAACCTTGTGGATTGTTTTCATCATTATTGCTTTCGTAGAAGGTCGCAATGGACGCACTCGACCTGTATACGAGACTGGTACACGGATTGTATTTGATTTTCATGCAAATATCACGCGTGATTTTATTATTCAACACCTCCCTTATGACCCTTCTTGGTAGGAAAGCTTTTTGTTACATTCTATGATACTCAGAGGACAAACCTACTTACATTAATACTTTGTTTCTTATTTATTTGTTATTTATTGCATTCCCCATTACATAATAATATATACTTATATTATAAAGTAATCAAATGATATTATTAGCAATTCATTTAAAAAAAATGAATAAGAAAACGAGCACATAGTCCACCTGCTGGAAAGAATCAAAATGCAGATACGTTTTGACCCCTGAGGACTAAGATGGAATGCCTCGTTTCCATTAAAAGAATTACCGTTTCTCTACAGTTACCACACGAAACTGCTATTTTACGCTGGTATTCTTTTTCATATGGAAACAACAACTAAAATTCTCTGTGTATGTGTCTATTGGATAATGGCTAGACAAGCACTGCCTGCAATAAACGAGCGCATATTTAAGGCGTTCATGCGAATAAGGGAACTCCAGATGGTACTTTTATTTAACAAGCACTTGTTTTCTTTATTATAGGGACTTTAAAAAGTTGAACTGAACACATTCTATATCATGAAATGAACGCAACGTTTTTACCGTGCAAACTTCTGAAAGCAGCGCTAAAGTTTTGTAAAGAGAAAATTAATTTTGTTCTTTAAAGATTTTCACATTAACTTTAAGTTAACTTGCTTTATTCCTTTTAATATATAGACATATGAGTATCAATGATATTTTAGAATTACTGCTACAAGTTGATATTAGACAAGTTTTAATCATTTTAAAATCCTTTGTTAAACCGTGACTATTGATGAGATTAAAAAGGCAGTCACATACTATATTAATACAAGAGTCGAAGAAAAAATGAATAGATAAAGCACAACAAAGCAAATATATATATATATATATATATATATATATATATATATATATATAAGCGACCAAATCAACGATATATTGTAGATGTACCAAATTAAGAGCATTTTAACCGATGAGCATGTATGCATTGGTACTTGTATATGGATGTTAAAGAAACGAGAGTGGTGTGTCAAGATCGTGCCAAAAGTAAATCCGTAGTCGCTATCTGCCACGTTGGGTGACGGGTGTTATGTTGTGTTATTGTTAAGTAGGCGGTCGAAATTGCGTCCACTTAATGACCATACAAAGATTGAACAACCTATTGTCAAGGAATCTACAAATCAGCTCGTTTGGGCGAAGCTAGCAATAGCAATAGGGTCTTAAATATGGATAATGTGTGACTGGTGGATAACGTGCGAATGCGATAGTCATTTACTTATGACTAACGTTTAAACAAATCATGTACCGTACAAGATATAAAGCTTACATTTTAATGCCTTGTGTAAAACATTGTTGATTAGTTTATATAATAAATAATCCTTCACATATATTTTTTATATTTCTTGGATACATCATGAACATGCAGCGTGCTCCTTCCCTACCGTAATTATACGAGGCTGTCACTCGGGAACCTTTTTTCCCCATCTGTAGTTCGTTCTT